GTTAGTATGTCTTTGAAAAACCAGTGCTGATGGGTTGGTTCCAACATCAAATCAGAGGTGGGCGTGACCGGTGGGAAACCCAGGCTCTGTTTTGTCCCCTTAGTGTGTGAGAATGGCTGGCGCTGCTGCTTGATAAACAGAGACCGGAAGATGCCGACGGACTACATTAGGAACGGGGTGCTGTACGTGACGGAGAAGTGAGTGACAGCGGGCTGCTGGATGGGCGGGACCTGAGGGGGCAGGGGGGCGAGGCCAGCCCTGCCGAGAGCCTGTGCCACTCCTGCTGGCTGTCCCTACACTCAGGGACAGAAAGTACTGCCTCCGAGGTGGACATGGCCAGGGCCAGCAGTGCCACCATTTCCCAGGCCCGAGGGAAGCTCTGGTCTGAGTGCTCATGACGGGTGACAGACAGGTCACGAGTGCAGTCGCGTGGAGGGTGCTGTGTGGCTCCACCTGCTGGAGCCCGAGGCGCAGGCAGAGTGTGCTTGTCACTCTCCTTTTGGGGTGTAGCAGCCCCAAGGTGGCTGTGCCTTTTCTCTCCTAGGGTGAGACTGTATAGAGAGCTTATCCTTGAGGCTGCTCCCAGGTGTGGGAGGTGGGGGAGCAGGTCCACGGATGGGGGCCTTCTCAGCCTTGGGCGCCCTTGGCCAACCGTCCCCCACACTCAGCAGCGGCCGAGGGCCCTCGCTTTCCTGTCCACCCCTCACTGAAGGAACTGGCCAGGAAGACCCCCGGCGGGGCCTCCGGGACGCCCTGTGTGTCTCTGGTTGGGTGTCCTGAGGGTTGTGACATCACGGGAACGTAAAGCAGGTTCAGTGTAAAGTGGTGGGTTTTCATCTTTAAAAGCTATGAAGCTTTCCCGAGCAGTCTTTAATAACAGGTGAGAGGGGCTCTCTGTTTGGGGGGTCGCCCTCCGTCCCACGGGGGCTGTGGCAGCCGCGGTGCGGTCCCCGTGGCTCATTTACCTCTCCCCGTCCCTCTGTCCGACCTTCTGTCCATCCCTCCATCCGGTCCCCGTAGCTACTTGTGCTTTGAGAGCTCCCGATCCGGGTCCTCCAAGAGGAACAAAGTCATCAAGCTGGCGGACATCACAGACATCCAGAAGGTTGGTGAGCCCGCCCCCACCTGTCCTGCCCACTTCGGTTTCGGGGAGAGCAAAGCGGAAGACGGAGCCACAGGGGCACAAGGCCAGTGGGGTGTAGCTGGAAGGTGGACACGTTTAGGAGACCAGGTGCCACACAGGAGGCTCCCACAGGCATAGCTTCTGCCCACGCCAGGGCTCCCCGTCTAGAAGGCCTCCGTGCCGAGCCCCTCAGCTCCCACCCGTGTCCGTGTCCCTCCCTGTGGGTCAGCGCCCGGTGCCCTCGCACGGATGGGAAGTGGGCCAGGTGGTCAGGTACTGAGCCCACTCTGACCACTGCCCCCACCCCTTGTCCCTGAGGCCCCCGACACCTCAGGGCAGGCTTAGGTGACAGCACAGACAGCTGTCCCCACTCTGGCATTTTCTAACCATTTCTCTCGTGTGTGGTCACGTGGAGTGTGTCTAGGTGTGTGCGGTGCCCAGAGGAGGGGTCTGCACGCACACAGTGGGGGTAGCTGGCCCACTTGCTCCCTCCTAGTCTCAGAGTCAACCCCGGGCCCCATGTGTCTTGCCGTCTGTGGGCTCCATGGAGGAGGTGACCCTAGGTGTGAAGAGGGTGGCACAATCCTGGCCCCAAGAGAGGCCCACGGTGACGATGTGCTCGTCTTTAGTACAAGGTCCTGTCTGTCCTCCCGGGTTCGGGCATGGGGATTGCCGTGTCGACACCATCGACCCAGAAAGTAAGTGCCAGGCAGGCGGGTGGCCAAGGGGATGGCAGGGTGGACCTAGGGGTGGGGCTCTGAGCATCCCTAGGGCGACACAGAGGCACTGGCCCTCCAGGGTTCCAGCCCGGCGGGGGGGCCCAGGAAGCCCGCTGCTTCCCTCCCTCCGTCCCCTTTGGCCACAGGACCCTCCTGCTGCCTTGAGTTTGGGTCTGGGAGGCTGAGGCCCACAGGGGACAACTCAACACAGTTACTCAGCGAGGGAGGGGGCGCTGGGGGCCCATCCCCTGCCTCTTGCCTTGGTTATATGAAGCCCAGCCTCTGGGTGGGAGGGGGTCTCCCCTTGGGCACCCAGACCCCACGTGGCTCCACGTGGCTCCGGCCCAGGGTCAGCCAGGGCCTGGGGGTGGGTGGCCTTGTCCTGCGCCAGCCTGGCCACATGGGCTCAGCGACAGTGTCTCCTCCCTCCAGCCCCTGGTGTTCGGTGCCATGGTGCACAGAGACGAGGCCTTCGAGACCATTTTCAACCAGTACATGAAAAGCACAGCGGCAGCCGCATCCGGCAGTGACAGCTAGTGTTGTCTCTCCCAGGACACTGCTGGACGTTTCCTTTCTTTCTTTCTTTCTTTTTTTTTTTTTTTACAATTTGGTAGTGGGAAAAAAATTGGATATCCTCATGATCTTTTGCAATAATTCCCCTCGATCTGTGGTTTCTATTGTGTTAACCTGCCTTTACAGACCCCTCATGCAGGGGTTGGGGCACTCAGACGGTGCCAGCCCGCCTGGCAGGTGAGGCACGTCTCAAACACCTGTGGACACAGAGGCCACTGGAAAGGAGGACACGCAGGACACACAGTGTCCCAGCCACCGCCAAGCACATCTGCCCCTTCTCTGTCCCCACCCGGGCAGAGAGACCCGGCTCTCTGGAGGCCGGCAGCTCTTCCACACCAAAGCCATAGCGGAAGGACATTGATGATGAGGGACAGAGGCCCCTTCACCAGCCTCCACAAATGGCCAGTCGGTCTCGCTCTTTCTCCAGTGGGACCCCTACCGCATGTCCTCGGAGCGCCATCTGGTTCAGCCTTTGTGGGGCCAGCAAGGGCTGGTGGGAGGGGCCCCCGTGCCTCAGGCCTGGGCCTGGCCTACCGTCTGCAGGGGCCACCTGCCATCTCGGCCTAAGAAGCCGGCCAGGAGGCCTGTAATTGGCACCTGATGCGGATACGGAGTGTCGTGTAGGTAGGAGCGTCTTTTTAACATTTTGCTGTTTGGAAAGGCCCAGAATGTCCCCCGGCTCTCAGGGGCACTCAGGCTTTGGTGGCTCTCAGGTGAAAACCAGCTACGGCATGGCAGGTGCCAGCCTCCAGGCTGAGCCACCAGGGCTGGTGAGGGAAGGGCTGTGGGGCTCAGGTGGGCACTAGCTTCCCAGGCCCATGGTGGGCCAGGCTGTGTAGGGACGCTTGAGTGACCGTGAGCAGAGCCCAGAGGTTTGTGGCCAGGCAGTCTGCACCCCGGCGTCTGAGTGTTCCGGGCCCCCCTGCACTGGCGTGCACATGGGTGCGAGCGAGCCCCTGCCCTCCCCAGCTGGTCTGGGCCCCGCCCTGCCCAGGAAGCCACAGCCCTCGTGCAGGTGGCCAGGCTCGGTCCATGCTGGGACCGCCCTGGAACCCAGAGGGGTGTCAGGACAGGCCGGTGGCCTCTGCAGAGGACGTGCTTGTGGGGCTGGGGCGGGTCAGCATGGCCGCCCTCCCTCACGGTCGGCACGCTTCCCAGTGCGGAGTCCTCCGGTTCCTTGACTTGTCCTGAGTCCTTTGGATGTCACTGAGATTGTTGTTTTTTGAAGAAACAGAAGATTATATTTTTTACAGAGAGCAAGTTGTTTTTCTTATTTTTGTATCATTTTTCAGATGTAATTTTTACCTTTGCTCTGATCCTAATTTGCTGGTTTTGGTGAGAGACTGGTGGCATTGCTCGTCACCCCTTCCCTTGCTGGGGCCCCTGGAGCGCTTGCAGGGGAGCCATGCCGACCAGCCAGATTAAGCACACACCCTGCCCCAGTCGGTGAAACCTGGGGACCCGCAGTGTCCACTGGCTCTCAGTCACACTGGTGTTTGCGTTCATGTGATTCTGTAGGTCGAACTTCTGAGAATGACGGCAGAGCCCACTCTAAACCTTGGCTTAGGCTCCCACGGTCAATGAAGGTGGACTGGCTCTCATGGGCCCCATAGAGGCCTTGGGGACATAGAGGCTCTGGGACACACCCCAGAGAGACCCCCAGTATCCAAGGCAGACAGGGTGGGCCCTGATCCGCCCCCAGGGGCGGGCTGCGGGGTGACCCCGTGGGTGCTGCTGCAGCCCTCCCCCATGGCCGCGCGGGGGTCAGCATGTGCTTCTTTGTAAGCACGAGGAGATTCTGTCCCCAAGCTCAGTGGGGGTGGTCCCTGCAGTGGTTTAGTTCGAGTCCCTTTTGAGAAGAAAGGGAGATGAAAACTGACCACGTGCCAGGGTGTGGTCGCCTGGCCCCAGCCCAGGGTGGGCTGAGGGATGCTAGGGTACAGGATGGGGTCCCTGAGTTGCCCAAGGGGCTGGCGGCAGGTCCTTCGGATGCCCAGGGGCTGTGCTGAGAAGAGCGCGGCCCCATCAGAGAAGACCTGTGGTTTTACTGAACTGTAAATCTGGGCAGAGATTTAATTTCTACGACTAATCACTGAACTAGAATGAATGTTAAATTTTTTATGTCTGAAGCCTGAGTCTATTTTGGATCTGTAAATAATCGTTACCAGTGTAACTCTTTCCACAACAGGGTTGTACCGTATGAAGAACCGATGAAACAAATCCCCCTGTAACATTTTTTTAAGAAAACCTTGTTTGTTTAAAGAAAAAGTCTTGTATAAATTATAATTTTTATTTAAACAAACCTGAGCTGCTTTGTGCTAAGGTAGGGCCCCGTGCATCGTGGGCAGTGGGTGGCTCAGGGCCTCTGCAGCTGCCAGTGCTGGACGGCAGGGGGCGTTTGGGCACCAAGCCACCTGGGTGAGGGGTGAGGGCAGTGGGGAGTGTACAGTGAGAGGCTGGGGGGCAGGGATCCCCGTTCCAGAAGACAGGAGGCCAGTGACAGGGCGGTGGCTCACAGGGAGGGGCACCCAGGACCTGGCACTGGGGGGCAGCAGGGAGTGGTGCCATCACCCTGAGGGTGAATGGGGGACACAGAGATGGGCAGAAGCAGTGCCTTGAGTTTGGGGTACAGGTCCTGACTTCACCCAGAGATGCCCTCCCTGGGGGGCCATGGGCGTCTCTGGGACCAGGTGCTGCTTGTAACCCTCCCCCAAGGTCTGAGGCTGACGAGCAGGAGGCCTTGGGGACCCTGAGCAAAGGGGTCCCCAGTGACACTCGTGGCTCAGCCCGTCCAGAGACTCACTCCCGGCAGAGGGACACAGGTACCCACCCAGCACGGCAACCACCGGGATTGAGCGGGACACCCAAGGGCACCCGTCTCCCGTACCCTGAGCCCACACGAGCCCCCAGGACGGAGAAGCCTGCAGAAGTCACGCAGGGAGTGTGGCCTGCTACTGCACCCGTCATCAGGGGCACTGTCACAGCAGTGACAGGACCGTCCCTGGGGAACCTGTCACACATTCTCAGGAGCACCGCTGCCCACTCCCTGGGTGGCTGACACACACCCTGGTTTTCTATCCCAGATAAACCTCCTGACCCCCACCCTCCACAGCCCCACTCAGCCCTGTCCCTTCTGGCAGCACCCCCACCCACTCTGCCCGACAGGCCATGTGAATGCCTCCTCACACTGGGGGACACCTGCTCCCTGGAGGGAACCGTTGGCAGGCTCGCTGGTGGGCTCCCCACGTAACCGTTAGCCCGTTTGCCTGTTTTACGCATGTGCCTTATTTAATGTAACAATAAAGACGCACACATATGCCTAAGGACTATTTTTAAAACCTTGATAACCATATTTCAGTGTAATTGGCTTCCTTCACAGGCCTTTATATTTTAATGTGTGCCTTTCACAGCAGTACAGACGGTCCCCAACTTACGATGGTTCAACTTACAGTTTGATTTTATGATACTCTGAAAGCGATACACATTCAGTAGAAACTCTAATTCAGATTTTGAGTTTTGATCTTTTCCCAGGCTAGCGATATGCGTACGATGCTCTCTTGTGACACTGGGCCACAGCAGCAAGGTGATTTGGTCCAATTTTGCTAATGTGAGGTGTCTGAGCACGTTTAAGGCGGGTGAGGCTAAGCTACGGTGTTTGGGAGGTTAGGTGCACTAAATGAATTTTTCACGTAAGGTATTTTCAGCTTGTGATGAGCGTGTCCCCATCATAAGGCAAGGGGTAGCTGTACTGAGAAGGCGCCTCTTGGCTTTTCCTGGAGGGTCCAGGGAACCAAAAAAAGCACCTCGGTGCCCTTTCCAGCAGAAGCCATCACTCTGGCTGCAAATCAGAAGGGTCACCCCAGGGTGGGAAGAGTATGGGGCACAGAAAGGGGACAGACAGGAACACAGAGGGAAATGAAATTAATAATGTTTCTTTTGTCAAATCGGGGTTCTCTTCATAGATACTTGCTGTTTATAACAGCCACATTCTGCCCAAAGTAACTTTATTTTTGTCTTCTCAAACATACAGAATAGGTCATTTTCCAATCTTGAAACCAGCAAGATTAGAAATTAAGTGACCCTTCCAGCCATATTCCAGTGACACCGAGCAGAGGAGGGGACAGTCACACCGGTTCCCAGCGACGGGCAGTGCCTCACAGCACCCTCACGTCATTAGAATAAGCAGGACTAATGTCAGAGCATAGCTGCCGCCTCACTGTTCCCGCGCCAGTGAGCAAAGGAAGTGAAAACAGACTAACCCTTGTAAGTGATCTTAACTTTTCACTATGTAGCCATGCGTTCTGATCATTTCTCTTAAAACCCCAGAGTGCAGGTGTTGTGGTCACTCCATCTAGTCTTCGCGGAGGCCTGAAGCTCTGGCGTGGGGATGTCTGAAAGATACTCGGTCCCGTGCAGGTTATCAAGGCGAGCTCAGGTGTCGCCCGTCACAGTCCCCAAGAACACTCCCAGGTTTGCAATGTCAGCGTGCAGTCGGTCCACACTGCCAGAGCCATTCGGGGACCATGGGGCGTGGCTGGGGTTCTGGTTGACCAAACGCTCACTCCGTGGCCTGAACTGTTTTTCTAGAAGTGGCAGTGGAAATTCCGGGCGGCGAGTGCACTGGAGATGCTGACCAGGGACGAGAAAGCCTGAGGACTGTTTGGGGAGACCTTGTAAAGTAGCACGACTCCACATGGCGATTGGGGGGTGTTGGGGACACCCCACACCGGCACCTCCCCAGCAGGGTGCGCCATGCTCCACACAGCTGCCAGTCCTTCATCTTTGGTTTCTTCCCAACCAGGAGCAACATTAAGAAGAGAGGAGGCCTGTGTGTATCTACTTCTTTACACCAGACTTTTCATCCGCCCACTATTATTAAACTGTATGACTTCCATAATTACCTTCATAATGTGGTCTATTAAAAAAAAACAAAAAAAGGGCCAGCCGAGTGGCATGTTGGTTAAGAGCTGGCTTGGGATGCCAGAGGGCCCCGGTTCGGATCCCACATATGAGGGCCAGTGACACTGCCCTCCACAGCTAAGATGCTGAACAANCTGCTGCTGTGTCACCAGGTTTTTTTGTTTGTTTTTTTTAAGCTGAGCCATCCTGCCACTTGTTGGCAGCTCAGCGGCTGCTCAGCTCAGGCTGGGACTCGAACTGCTGTTGCTCAGAACTCGCATTCTTGAGTGAGCTCTAAAGCAACTGAGCCACTCGGCCGGCCCCCTCATCGGCTGTTTTGAAGGCCCTCTTGCACCATCACCTCTGGGGGCTTTAAATGTGCTCCCCACAGGAGGGCCCCAGGGGAGGGGCTGACGAGAGTGACCTGAGTCCACAGCAGGGAGGGGCCCTGGTGGTCTCGGAGGTGAACAGCAGGGGCTTCCGAAGCCCCTTCTGTCCACTTTTCAGGGCGCCCCTCCCCGTGGGGAGCTCAGGGCCCGGCATGTGACGTCGCCCCTGAGACGATGCCGTCTGAGAGTGTGTGTTGTCTTCGTTTGCCAGGGGCTGGAGGATACAGTGGAGCATTGTGCCTGAGGTGTCCGAAGTGGTGGTAAGTCCGGAGGGCCTCGTCTGTTTCCCCCGGGTTAGGCCTCCACCTGGGTCCCCTGAGGTCCCCCGCGGCCTCCAGGTGCAGCTGTATGGGCCCCACATGGAGCTCTGCCTGCCCAGGAGAGGTTGGGAGGGAGGCGACCAGCCACCCCCAGCATGGAGCTCTGGGCAGCTGCACGCTGACCCCTCACCCGCTGATGCCCACAGTGCCCCTCCCTGGCCCAGGCTGGGCTGCTTGGGAAGAGGTGGCCCTGCGCCGACCTGTCCTCCTGACCTCCCCAGTGGGATGGGATGGGGCGGGAGGCAGCCAGGGGGCCACTCCTGCCCCCGACAGCCCGCTGTGGAGGCGGGTGAACAGCGGGTGGACAGTGGACATGGAGAGCATGATCGGCTATGACTGTAGCCACCTCCAGCCTGCTGCCTGACTTTGTAAATAAAGTTTTATTGACACGCAGCCAAGCCCGTTCATTTCCGCGTGCTGTGGCTGCTTTGGGGCTGTCACAGCCAAGTTGAGTAGCTGTGACAGAGACCCTGTGGCCCACAGACCCACAGGTGTTTACCATCTGGCCCTTTACAGAAAAAAACTTGCTGACCTTGCTCTAGAGGGGGACTCTGGACCCTGGGGCAGAACCGCTAGGTGTGGGCAGGAGGCGTCTCAGTGCCTCCATGAGCCGCGTCAGATGCTTGAGCACCTCCTGTGTGCATGGAGCACGCAGTAGGGGTGCTGAGTTGCGGCGGTGCCTGCAGGTCCCGCTAGGAGTCAGGGAGAGTGTCTGGGGGCAGGCCTACGCCTACCTGGCCCAGCACCCGGGAAGCCCTCAGGAGGTTTTTGTTGAATGAACTCAGATAAGCAGGGTGAGATCAGGCCCCCTCTTGCCTCAGTTTCCATGCCTGTAAAGTGAGGTGGGGGGACTGCATGGCTTCAGATGTACCTTCAAAGGTGAGTTAGAGCTACAGCCCTGGCCAGCTGCGGGGGTGCCTGCAGGCACCAAGGAGGGGTGTCCACCTGCTGCCCCCCTCATGCTGGGTTCCCCAAGGACGTCCGTCCCTATGGCTGTGTGGGGACGGCCGAGTGACCCAGGTTCTGGGGCTGGGAGGACTCCGTTCCTTTTTTGTCAGTAATTTCTCTGAACTGTTAAATTTCAGTGGAAATTCTCTTTCCCCTTTGACTGAAGGAGCCGCCAAAGGAAGACCTGACCGTGTCNACCCAGCGCCTGCCCTGTCTTCCTTTTTAAACCACCCACTGCTGGAGCACCATGCCATCTGTCTGTCTCCTATATGCAGGGCACATTACGGGGAGTTCTGGTATTCCATATTTGGGGCGACATCAAGGAGGTTAAACCCCCTGCCACCGGGAACAGCTGCGCTGTCTCCAGCCTTCCTCCACTGAAGGCAGCTCACAGCCATTAACATCTAAATACCTGTGGCTTTCTAGCAGGAATTGTGTTGGAGAGAGCACACAGCCAATGACTGTTGGCTGTTATTACTGTTCAAACATTCGGTAACAAGCACAGCACCCCGGGAAGCCCCCACTGGCCACTCAGACCCCGAGCCCTCCATGGCTTAGGCAGTGTCACATCCTGTAGGCCTGTGAGTCCCCATGGGCACCAGTCTGTTAGTGCTTCTGGGTGAGCTGCCTCTTCCGGAACCCCCAGACTTGGTCAGGGAATGCCCTGGTCCAGCGGCCTCGAAGGAACGGAGGGAGCCCAGCCAGTGTTTTAGGGGGTCCTGGAGTCTCCTGTGTGCCCTGGGCTCCCCTCCTGTTCCCAGTGATCCCCATTTAGTCAGTAGCTGTGGGCAGAGGTCACTTGGGCAGCCTGCCACGGGGAGGGGTGGTGTGAGGCCGGGCCCCTCCCCTGACCGCGGCTTCCTCCCCTGGGACCCCCCCTCTCGATTGCTTCGTGAGGCCACAGGCCTCGCCCTCCCTGCTCGCCTCCTGTCCAGCTTGTGCTCTGTGCTCCCTGCTGCAGATTATGATTTGGGGTTACAGTCCCTCAGATTGGGTTGGCTCGTGGTGATATTGGCGTGAATCACACTGAGCAGCAGAACCACACCCCTCCTTACTGATGCCGAGGGTCTCCCGGCCCTACTCTCTCTGTCCTGAAGGCGCCCTCTCTACCCCACCAGCGAGGTTTGCCTGAGGCACCGCCTTTCCCACATCCTGGGGTCCCTGCTGGACTGGGAGGTCTGGGAACCACAGAAACAGTGCGGGGAGTCCCTGCAGAGGGAGGCGGACGGGTGGGCCAGAGCACGGGGGTGGGCACCGCCTGAGGATGGGGGCCAGGCGAGCTGCTGGGGTCCGGCTGCGTCAGGGTCTGTAGCTGAAAGTCAGCTCAGTAGTTGGATCTGGCAGCTCTGGGAGAGGGTGCTGGGGCCGGGTGGATCAGCGGTGGCTCGCTGCAGCGGCAAGAAGCCACAGGCAGGTAGCCGGCACGGGCCGAGCTGGGGCTTGGGCGTAGCTGGCCAGGGCAGGGGGCCACCCAGCCTGTGACATGGCGTGGCACTTGGTAATTATGTGTGTTGTTAAGTATTTTTTCATTAGCAGGCCAGTTAATTAGCAGTATAGAGCTGTTTATTCTGAGCTTAACAATAAAGAAGCAAACGTGTGAAAATTATTGTAATAGGAAAGAGAAGAGTTGTATGTTTATGAGGCACATAGTGATCCGGTCATAAAAAAACGAAAAGTGTGCCTGTTACGATGCAGCTCTGTGCTGCCCAGCTACCGTCGTAACCAGCATTTGAGGGAGCCGACACTCGCCTACAGGACGGTCCCCTGTGAGCGCTAGACCTGCACAGCCCAGGCTCACACCTGGCTTGAATTAACACAAGTCTTTCTCCTCCTCTTCCAGATCCGAGGAGCAGACAGCTCAGCAGCCTCCGAAAAGCCAGGCCCAGGCCACTAACGGAGCAGGTAGGCCCCAGCGAGTGCCAGCTGGGTGGCGGCGGTGGTGTTGGTTCTGTTCTGAGCACCTGCTTGCATCTGGAAGTCCCCTCCCCTCGGAACTGGGTTAGGTCTCTAGTTGTGAATTGGTGAGTCGTCATAGCAAACACAAGTCATTCCATCAAAGCGTGGCTGTGGTTCTCGTGGACATCCAGCGCAAGTCTATTTCAGCCCTTCCCTGCACGGAAGTGGTGCCGTCATCACACTGGCTCCGTGGCCACTGGCCTGGCAGCCGGTTTCCAGTGGCTGGTCATCCCATCAAGGAGATGAGTGAGCAGCGGGGGCGGCCATGGTTGGCACCTGCCCCAGCGCTCCCAAAGCTGGGACCCAGAACGCATTTCTCTCCACCTTTTCTCCCTGCCCCAAGCTGTGTTCTATACCTCGCTCCACACTTTGCACTTTCTAAAATTGTTCTTCCAAGGACGATGTGGGAGGAAACTGGATTTCCCATCTGGCCCTCGAGGGGCTTGATCGAGATGGTCCCTGGTGCCCGCGTCCTCGGACCCAGGACCCAATCCTGCAGGCTGACCACTCATGGGACTCTCCCTGCCCGTGCCATTGGAGCTCAGAGAATTGCACCAAAGGCCTTAGATTTAAGCCTTGCCCAGTGTAAAGATGAGGAACTGAGGCCCGGAAAGGAAGGCCTCTCCCAAAGGCAGCCGCCTGGTCTCAGCCAGGTCAGGGCCTGCCATGCTTGCCTGCCCGAGGGGAAGATGGTATGCTCTCCTCTCCTGGGGTCCCTGGTGCTGGATGCATAGGCCGGCCGGCCCGGGAGCAGGATTGGTGGCTGCGTCCCAAGGGCCCTAGTCTCCTTGTGTGCTTGGGCTCCACAGCCAGTGGCCCAGGATCCGAGCCAGGAGCAGCATAGGAGACCCCCGGCCCCAGCTGTGCGTGGCGATGATGAGCCTCCTACAGATGTGGGCCATATCAGCGAAGTGTAGTATGCAAGGCCCGGGCCATGCGTCCCTGCGGCCGAGTCCATTCTGAGAGCCATGGTTACCGAAATGGTGNCTTCCCCCGATTCCCCAGCACTGTTCCCATCCCCCAATTCACCAATAAAAATCTTTTTAAAAAACCCCAAAAAACAACACTGTTATAGCTGCCTTTTTGTCTGGCTGGGTGGGACTGCATGATGAAATAGGTAATTTCACGTGTACTTCAAAATCTAAGTTGGTGCAAGTGAATTCTAAAAACACATGATGTCTGTCAGAAGCTAATGGCTCCCTGAACCTACATGAGAGCGAGGCAGTCCTGAGGCGACACCGCGTGCAGTCGCTGCCTGTAACAGTCATGGTCCCTCTCTTCGCAAATCAAAGGTGAAGCTGCATCTTGTATCGCAAACAGAGCTGTTGTGGATCCGCCTCCCGCCGCCTGAGCGCGACCACAAACCTCAGGCCGCACTCAGCGGGGACGCAGGGCGCCTTCACAGAACCCGGCACCGCAGCCAGCGCCATAGCAGGCAGCACACTGCAACAGTGACGACACTTAAGGACTATTCTGCTTTAAAAGGACAAAACTTCAATAACTAGATCGGAATAAATGTGAAGAAGAGAAATCTGGGCCATGTATGTAGACTCGGGGCTGCACCAGCGTAACCCCCGGAATGTGGGGCCCCCAGGGGCAGGGTGTGAAGTGTACAAAGAATTCACAAAGTGAATTTCTTACTGCATGCCGGCTTCTTTCCGTGTGCCTCAGAAAGCCCAGCTAGGTCACCTGCTTTGTGTCGCTACAAAGCACCGGGATGGTAACTTTAAAACAGTCAGACGTGTGCCAGTGCAGTGCATGCTGCCCCGTGCCCAGAGCTCACGGCCTGTTCCCGCCACCGGCCGGCTGTCTCAGGAACGCCACCACCATGGCAGCGAGAGATGAGCGTGAAGAGAAGTTTTGGCTTCGTGCCCTTCTCTCCCAAGTGGTCCCCTGTGTGGCGCCGCCTGAATGGAGCGGGGTCACGTTGCATTGTAGTTGCACGGCAGGAACACCCAGTGAGGGTCCTAACTGTGAGCGCAGGTGAGGTGGCAGAGTGGCCGCTTCCCACGGCCTGCCCACGAGCGACAGAGGAGTCTCGCCACACGGATTGGAGTGACCCACAGATACCTCATGTCCAGGTGGTGCGACCTCGATGGGGGGCTCTCCTATTTAATTACCCCTGAAATTATTGCAATGGGACCACTAATGGGCCATTTTAAACACTGCGCTGTCCGCGCTGTTAAAATGTAAGAAGCCAGCGCCCCAAATCAACAGTTGCCGTTTGCTGAGCATAAATTCTGTGAAACGCAACCAACCCCAAGAGTCACGGAACAGAAAATGCCAATGCGTTCACAAAACTGTTGACAAAAGTTATTCTTTCTAAAATCAAGATTTAACTATCAAAAATAAACTTCTAAATGTAACTATGTATGCACATAATTGGTCTGTAGTGTTCCCTTAGATGGTTTTCACGCTCCCGAGCACAGCGAGGATCCGGGCAGGTGGTCCCCGATGGCTTCAGCTGAGAAATTCTTGCTTAGGATTTTCTTCGATTCCTCGTGCGAACAGCCGGACCAGCTGGCAGTGGACCCTGCAGAGACAAAGGGCCACACTGAAACCCCGCAAGCCCTTGACTCCTGGCCCCACAGCTGTCAAGGGCGGAGGTGGGGCTCACTCACCAGGGACAGCGGGTCTCATCGTGGCTGTCTCTGGGTCCAACCCCACCATGACTGACTTACACTCCCAAGGGACCTGTTTTGTAAAGGACAGCTGACGCGGCCATGTGGAAACCCGGGGAGCAGAAGACCTGGTTCTAATTCCAGCACCCCACTCTCCAGTGGAGTGACCCCCGGTATCCACTGTGCCAACCTTGGTCTCATCAGCAGCCAGCTCACAGGGCCCTGGGGACCGTATGCGGGGCATCCCCGCGTACGACAGATTCGCAGGCAGCGTCCAGTCATGAAGGACAAGTGTGCCCCACACCAGGCAGAGCCCAGGGGGCTGAGGAGGGGGGTGAGGTCCCCTGGAGGCCCCTGGCCTGCATGACAGCCTCCAGGGCTGCAGCCAGAGGGCCCTGACCGGCAGTGCCACCTTCCCGACTTGCAGGTGGCATCACCACCTCCTCAAAGGTGTTCAGTAATAACCTCCATAACTAAGTGACTTGCTGCTCAAGACTCAGTAATATCTGTCAAAATATGCAGGACACACTTCCCAGATTCGTTCCCTAATTCCCCAAGCGTCCCATTTCTCTAGTAAATCCATAAGCTGGCATTAAAAACAATTCCATTTCCTTCACTTGTAACACGAGTCCACAGACGCCAATCCCTGGCTCGGTGGGTTTTCCTGTGGCCTCATGGCCGCCTCTCGTTTGTGGACGTGAGCTGGGCAGTCACTGCCACCCTGACTGTGTCCTGGCCACAAGAATGGGGGGCGTGCAGACGTGGGACTGGGCGACATTTAACAGACTGCCCCCCTCCGAAGCTCTTCTGGACACTAATAGTAGAAGAGTTTAAGGCTGCATCTGGGCCTGGCAGCTGGTTGGTTGAAAAGCCACTTAAAGTGGGGAATTATAAAGAAGGCGAACAGGTTCCCTCAGTGCTGGGATTGTGGCCATCAGAGGGCACCCGTCGCCCTTTCTGCACGGGCCTGGCTGATGGCCCTTATCACCTGTCTGATGTGACCAGCACAGTCGTCGTCTGAGCGTCCAGCTGGGTTTCCTCAAAGTAGACCAAGGTCAGAAAGACATCTGCAAATAGTGCAGAATGCTGCTAGAACGTGACGCTTCTCCTCTAATCTTGTGTAATTTGTACGCCCACACCTCATTTAGTAGTCTTTAAAAAAATTCCTATGTTGTGCCTTTCCATGGGGAAAAAAACCTCTGCACTCGTATTTCATCCGGTTATGCAATATATATCATGTATACGACCTGTAATATAATTACAGATTCCTGATACCAAATACAATGAGCCCCAATGGGGAGGCCCCACCTCCCACATTCCAGCNGGACACTTAGCTGCCCCTGAGTCCCTATCAGGACTCTGGGCCACCCCTCCTGTGCCACCCCACTGCATGCAGCGGCCTCAGGGTTTGCCTGCCTCATTCCAGCAGGGCCCCTTCGTCCTGGGGGTGACAGGTGCTGCCCCAGCCTCTGGAGGGGATGACTTGGGCCCCACTGCGGGGTGCAGCTGCCCCTGAGCACGTGGCCCCTCCTGCACCCCACACCTGCCCACGCGAGCTCGGCCCCTGCCTCATGGTGCCTCCAGCAAGGTGCGGGCCATTCCAGAGGGATGTTTGCGTGTTGCAAGTGCTGTGCGTGTCCTCATCAACCCCCGCAAGGCTGCCTGTCCCTCCGCACTGTGTCTGAGCCGGCGTGGCCTGGCAGGCAAGGCCTGGGAGTCGGGCTGCCAGCCTCCCCGCTCTCTGCTCCCCCAGGCCTCCCTTTAGGCCCTGCACCAACGCCGGCCACCCTTGCCCAGGCCCTCCCTGGCTTGGGCTGCTTGCTGCTGCTGCGGGGACACCCCGTCCAGAACTGGCTTCTCCATGGGGTGGCCGAGTGTCGTCATATTTGAATGTCATTGTCACTTTTGAGTGTCAGTCACTGAGGAGCCCACACCCAGGGTGACGCGCTGCATGGGGTGGTTGGAGCAGAGGAAACGCCCCGTGCTGCGTGCCAGATGCTGGCTTCCTCTCGGCTCTCGGCCATCGGGCTCCAGCTCTCAGGAACTGGTGGCGTTCGGGCCTCTTTGGAGGAACGTCCTTTGGTTTCCTGCTCCGCGGCACTCAGGACAGCCCTGGTGTGCTTTCTGGCAGCTCTGGCGGAAGGCGGCCCGTCTGTCTCCCAGGTCGGCATGGCCGCTCTCCCGGGCTCCCCGTGGGGCCACCCTGCTTTGTCCACTCGCCCTGGCTGCGAGACCACCACTCCTCCCCAGACCAGAAATCTGCACACGGGCCTCAGCCAGCATTTCACCTGAGGTTGAACCTTCTTACGTGAAAACCTATAGACATTCAAAGATTCAGTTATGTTTAATATGCAAAGAGGCACAGCCAGCGACCTAACCTGGGACGGATGTTGGGAGATCCAACACTGGCACTGTCTCCAGGCGACTGGCCGGCCATGGCTGGCCTCTCATGGCGAATGTGTCACGGTGCTTCTGTCTGGTGTGTATGTGCGTTTATGTCAGGCTTTCTCTGGATGCTGTGCTTTCTCAGTGGCATTGGGTGGCACCTGTGTGCCTGTTCTCTCTACAGAGTCTGTGTCTCCTGTTTCCCACCCGGGGGTTTAATCCTCGTCCCTCCACCAAAGCCCTTGGGTGCCCAGTCCTCAGTCAGCTCTGAGGACGCAGAGGGACCGGTCTCCCATGCGTCTGCCTGGGGACTGGCTGGGGGTTAGGGGAGAGGAACTTCCGGCCAGGACCGAGGAAGCTGAGGGTCCCAGGAAGCATCCGGGGTGCTCCCCGGCTCTGTGGGGGTGGGGTTAGGAACCCTCTGGAAAAGGCCTGGAGGAAGAGCCGTGCAAGGAGCAGCAGGTTCCAGGGAAGTGACTTCCGGTTTCCTGGCNGGGGGGGGGGGGCACGAGCCTCACTCCCCCCCTCGCACTGAGCACCTGACAGCAACAGCCAGCAGCCTGGGCTCCTGATGGACGCGGTAAACCCAGGACTCAGAAAGTGCCCACAGAGGCCGCTGCGTCTGTTTGTTTGTTTAGTTGGGAGAAGTGAAAGAATGCCAGGCCAAGAGGCCAAAGCTGATGCTGGGGGTGCAGCGCGAAGATGAGGAAAAGAATAAAATCAAGCGGCTTCAAATACCTGTGAAAACGGTCCAGGCCCTAGCATCTCCCCAGATGGAGGCAGCGGCCTCCCACTGGGCTCTTAGTCCGTGAGAGCCTGTGCTCTTATCTGAGGCTCATGTCGCGGGATGCAGGACTCGCCTGCGGGCACCGGTGACCAGGGCCACCCTCACTCACCTGACCTCGATGGCAGAGCTGTTCAGAATCTCCCCGTCACAGTTCCAGGAACTATTGGACACGGTGCAGCAGCACGAGGGGTTGTGACTGCAAATGTGCCCAAACCGCTGCTTTCCCTGCTCGCTCAGGTCCGCGTCATCGTCCTCCACATGCTTCGACACAAACTGGAATTTCTTGATGCGATAAACTTCAACAAATGCGAAGTCAAACTAGCAAGAGAGAGGAAAGGGTGTTCTTACAGTTACTGTGCTGGGGAGGGGACAGCCCCGTCGTCCCCGGCCAGGGTCAGCCAGGTCTCCTGAGTGTGCTCAGCCCTCGAGGACAGCACCGGTAGGCAGTGTGCTGAGCTGCTCTGTCCAGCTCCCTGGACAACTGCAGATGGAGAAACTCTGGTACCTGCCTCCCCAGGCACTCGGCAAAACACTCACACTGCTTTGGGAAATCCCAGCCCATCCACAGTGATGAGCACTTGTCAAGAATTCTGGTAGCTCACTGGCAGTGTAGAATTCTTTATCGTTTTCACAAGTAGTGTTTTATTTTATTTGTTTATTTTATTTTATTTTATTTTTTTAAATTTTTTTAGCTGAGCCATCCTGCCACCTGTTGGCAGCTCAGCGGCAGCTCAGCTTGGGCCGGGACTCGAACCGCTGTTGCTCAGAGCTCACACTCTTGAGCGAGCTCTTAACCAACTGAGCCACTCAGCCGGCCCTCACAAGTAGTATTTTAAAAGCCACTTAAAAATACTATTGGACTAAATTTTAAATATAAGTTAAAAAAATATTTTTACTAAAATCGGAGACTGACCGCCAGTAGTTCCGGTTCCCGCCACACAGTCGGACTCAGGGCCGGCCCAGCTCTAACTGCATGGACGCCGGTCTCTACAGAAGTTTGCTGGGAGTGTCTGCCCAGCCTGGGAACCTAAAGACTTATTATAAGTGACCTGCGAATAACTGACCTGCGAGGGCAACACAGAATTTCACTGTATCGTTTTGTTCTGTTTTTCAAGCAGGAGGAGAAATGAGAGGTAGACATGTGTAAACATTCACACCTAGTTTCTGTGCTCAGAAGCTTCATATTTTTAAATGAGATTTTACAAGGCGTAATTGTGACTGGCAGTTTAAAATGGGGAAACACAAACAGAAACAATCTGCCTTTCTGTCCCGACGTCAGTGATGGGTTCACGAGGGTCGGCCGAACAGAAGCGGCCCCCACACAGATCGTGTGGCACAGCACTGCCCTCACCTGGTCGTGCTGGTTGGTGTGCCTGACGAGGAATCGCAGGAAGTTGAACCTGGAGCATTTGCGGATGAGGATGAGGTCCGAAGACCCGTCTCCCAAGTGGGCGGCCGGGGAGAGGCCCCTGGGGCTCCGGGGACAAGCACAGGACATGTTTGTGGCGTTGATGGCCAGGAATTTCCCGCAGACGACCTTCCACTCCTCCACCTCCTCTGAAGCACAAAGAAGCAACGCAGACATTACACTGGATGCGAGGCGAGCGGGCTCCCGGTGACATGGGACAGGGCAGTCTCTGTGCCCCACCCCGCCCCTGGTTTGGACACTCCAGATTTTACTCTGGCCACAGATGCACATGCGATCAACTCTTCATCATCAACACCAGGAATGCCCACCATGGAAGCTGCTGTGACCATGCTGTGCCCAGAGGGTCACCTCCTGAAAGGCAGAGCTGTGTCCCTCGTCCTCACATGGGGACTTTTGGACAACGATTTAGAACAGGGGTCACCTAATCTGGCCCGCCATCTGATTTTGTGTGGCCTGTGAGCTAAGAATGATGTTCACATTTTTAAATGATTGGGGGGAGGGGTCAAAAGAAAAATAACGCTTTGTGACATATGAAACTCAAATTTCAGTATCCATAAATAAGGTTTTGCAACACAGCTGTGCCCATTCCTTTCCGGGGGGGCCGGCAAAGCCTGAAGATGTTGCTAGAAGCCCTTAACGGAAGCACTGCCGAGCCCCACTCGAGAGCATTCTAGGCTGGAAGCGCCTGGCTGGCACCACGGTAATGACTCAGGGAAGACAGCAAACATGGACGTTTCCCCAACGTCTTCTCTTCCCAGAAGTCTGGCAAATGGCAACCATGTGCTGCTGCCTGAGGCAAACCCAAAAGGGGCACGGGGGCTGGAGGGGAGGCGGGTTCCGACACAGAATTCTGACAGCAGCGAGCGCGCGAGTCTCTGGAGCGGTTACCCGTGCTCTCTAAGCCGTACAGCGCCTTCTTCTGCTCCTCCTCCAGCTGCTGCCGGCTTTGCCTGCAAACAAAGCACCTAAAAGACAAGAACACCTCCTCACTGTGGAGCCCCGACACAGGGAGGCGTGTGCTAGGCGCAGGCTTACATATTTTAATTCTCATATCATAAAAAGTCCAACGTCAAAGGCTTAGCTGAAATGTTTCTTCTGCACATTAATTTGAATTCTCGCCATTAGGTCTACATTTAAAAATCACACCTGTCAACACATCCTTCACCTACATCTGTAAACACTATACAAGCAGAGCACCCCACGAGGCCCGGCCGTGGGCACAGCAGTGGCTGGAGGAGTGACAAGAAAGGCACCGACTCCACCCGTGCCTCCTGGCTGAGCCCGCGTTCACGCGTGTGACAGACCAGGGTGACTTGTGCAGCCGATGACACGCAGCGAGCAGCTCAGGGCTAACGCGGACTTAGCCATCAGTCTCCAACGTTATCTGTCGTCTGGGCCCCGCTGCCCAACAGGACGAGTGTTCACACTGGCCCAGTCTGCTGAGTGTGGCGACGCAGTGGCTCAAATGCCATGTATGGCCCCAAATTCTTCACTTCAGGAAGGAAGGGCGGGCGGAAAGACTTAAAGAGCTTGGGCCCTTCAAAACCCACAGCCTCCACATCCTCAGACCACGGAGCAGGGGCAAGATGCTGGACAGACGCTCCGCTGTCCTAACGGGCCACTGGGCCACGTGACTGATTTTAGGCTTTATTTCAGGTTCTGCTTTAAACTGGTCAGATACTCTGGGCTGTGTTGGGGGAGCCCCAGGTGAAAAAGGCATCGCTGCTGGTCATCCACGTGTCCGTATGCTCAGAGCCTGTGACGGCTGCAGCCGGTATGGACTCCAGCCATTGCTGACTCCCCTCCCCTCTCCCGGCCGCTTCTCCCTGTGCCCACTCCTTCTCCTGGGTGCTCAGGGGCTCGGCCTGCCCTTCTAACTGCAGGGCAGGTGCCCCCCTTGGAGCCAGGGTCTCAGCTGGTGTGGGGACAGGAGGCTCCACGTGCATCTCCTGCTGAAAACACCGGTTCTGTCCAGTCACTTTGCCCACGGTCCCCACAGTGTCCAGCACACACAGCTATCGGGAAAGTGGTTTTGTCTTTCGTCGTTTCTTGCATGTGTTTTTCATGCCCCCCAGTGGGGGCAAAGGAACCCCGACAGGAACAGGCATCATGACGCAAGGCCTCCACCAGTGGGTGGGGTGGCCTCGCCCCAGCACTGCGCCTCCCCATTGTGCCATCTGTGGCACAGGGACGTGTCACTGGAGGGGTGTGGCGAGACGCCCTCTCCTCAGGGTGCATGTGAACTGCGAAGTGCTGAGCTAACCTAGGCTCTCGCTGGGCACAGAGTCCAGTGTCCCCAACCTACATCTGGAAAATACTTGTCACTATTGCATAATAGGCGCAAATTCCCCAAACACACAGCTTTATTTCACGTCGTCGGCGATAGAACCATGTCAGCAACGCACTTACCCAGCCCGGCATGGTTTGCTATCCCTTGGAGATCCCACTGTGTGCTGTGCTGGCAGGAAAGACACTGTTCCTTCATAACAGTGATGTGACAAAAAGGTCTTCAAACCTGAGGACAGAGTGCGACGAAGGAAAAACAGCCAAGGTCATTTCTTGGTCACGACAC